GTGTACTGTGTGCGTTCTTAGGGTGTGTGATGTATGTACTGTGTGTTACCAGTTCAGCTGACGCCGCCGCCTGAGCTTTTGGTTGACAACACGTCCCAAACTTGGAACATTACTTTGAAAAGTCGGTATGACGAGCATCCGTACCTCGCCAACTTCCTCAAGTATGAGCTCCTGCTTCAAATGTTCCAAAACAGCAAAGTCACAAACAAAGTGAGTTCCAACAACACGCCGTCACAAACATCTGCTACGAAAGCTTGTTTTTCTGTGATAAGATCTAAAAAGAGATGGTTTTCCCCAGATTCTTCCTCTCATGTCACCTGCGAGGTCTGAACTGATCGATGAAGGATCCCAGCTCACAGCAGATGCAGAACATTGCATTAAAGCCAGATTCATGGCTGATGAAAGGTATTACGATGGAGTTTGGAGCAAATGGAGTGAACCGAAGTGCAGGAAACCCAAAGCAGCAGCAGCAGAAGGTAACGTGAGAACAGAAGGCTTCACGACACTTTCTGCCACGGATGCATGTAAACCTGCTCATCTGCAGGCCGCTGCTTTCCAGCAGCACCATGACAGCAAAGTGAAAAAGGATGTTTTTACTACTTTTGGTGATGTCCAAACAAAAGGGCGACAATCCAGGCTTGATTTCTATATATTTATATGCAAAGGCTCCCTTATGCTGTCTGGTGGTGTGTGTGAGACCTTGTTGTCTGAATTGTGTATCAGGATCATCAAGATCAAGATTTGAACTGTGAAGGAAATAACATGAGTCAGAGTCTCAGAGCCTCCAAAGTGACCCCTCCTTTTCTCTTTGAAAGAAAAGTACACATCATTGATGGATATCAGCCAACTGATGGACTTACTGTCATCTCTGTGTATGACTCACTAGTTCTCTTTTACTTCAGAAACCTTCTCAGAACAGGAAAGTGTGTTTGTCATTCTGGCCAAATGCCTGGGCCCAGTGTGTGCCTGTGTTGGAGTCCTGCTGTTGGTGCTCTACAGTCCTGCTGCAAGGTGACTTATCTGCACTGATCGCACGCACCAACAGCAAAATAATGTGGTTTGACCTTTCTGACATGTCACGATTTGCACCACAGGATGAAGATAAAAACTCTGTCTCACACACCATCACCAGCACCGTTCTTTCAGCCGCTGTATCAGCAGCATCACGGCAACCTCCAGGTGAGCTGCTGACACCATCTCCTCCTGTCGCCTGCTTTCCTGTCTTCAGCTTCAGTCACGATACGAACGCTCGTGGCTCCAGGGATGAAGTATGAAAGCCACAAAGATGGTGTCATTTTGTTTGGTTTCATCTCGACTCCTTGCGTAGTGTCTAACACAGCCTTCAAAATCTTCCAAAACGGCATTTCTCGCAGTTTCAGATGCACACTAAGCGCTGCTTTCAGTAGAAGACATGAGAAAGCATCGCTGTGAGAGTTTGCAGTCACTGTTCTGTCTCCAGGGAAATGCTGCTGTACCTCGCTAGCATGTCCATGTTTTTCTTTTTTATATCTTTGAAGACATATCATGAGCAAAATAAGACAGTCTGAAAACTCAGATTCAGACTTTTGGGGCTTCCAGTCCTTGGGGCTTTCTGCTTCAGGATCAGTGAACACTTTGAACACGTGCTGCTGACCTGCTCCAGTACGACAGCCTGCCTTTATAGAGATGATGGACGGATCTCACCGAACATCAGGGACTGTTTGATCTACTTGTTTAATTTGGAGATTCTGAATCAATGACATGATGAGAAATAGTCAAAGTATTTGACATCCATCCATCATCTCTACTCCTTCATCCTCACCAGGGTCATGGGGGGGCGGAGCCTATCCCAGCTGACTCAGGGTGAAGGCAGGTTCACCTGGACAGGTAACCAGTCTATCACAGGGCTACACTTAGAGACAGACAACCAAGCACACTCACATTCACACCTACGGACAATTTACAATCACCAATTAACCTCAGCATGTTTCTGGACTGTGGGAGGAAGCCGGAGAACCCGGAGAGAACCCACGCTGCACGGGGAGAACATGGAGACTCCACGCAGGAAGATCCCGGGTGTCCTCACCGGGACAGCGACCTTCTAGCTGTGAGGTGCTAGCGGTGCTAACCACTGAGACACCTACAGCCCTGTATTTGATATATCAAGCTTAAATTTCAGAGATATTTTTCTCAGATTAGATGTTTAAAGATATTCAGGCCAATCAGAGGTGGTCGAGCCAAAGTTGTTCTGAAAATCTGATGACTTGAGATGGAATGACACAAATATGAAACCTCGACTCACAGAGAGGAGTTTTTAGAAGTTTGATGGAGAACAAGTTGAATAGTTCCCGGGATATTGTTTACAGTGTTTAGATCCATTCACACTGATTCCCAGCAGAGCACTGCACTGTAATGACATGATCAACATTATTCTCTTCACTGGCCTTATTGTTGTGGCTGATGGTGTATATTTATCTACAGCACAGGGGATGTTTGTGTGTAACAGGCTCAGCTGATGTGTCTTCATTCTGCTGAATTTGCAGGAATGGCTTTCGTCTCATGGAGAAGTTGTTGTAACGTACAAAACTGAGGAGATCTCAACAACCAATGTTGTGACTGTTGTGCCAAAATCCATCACCAAGCACCCAGAGGAGAGCCAGATCTCCCACGACCCTCCAGTAACACAGCTGGTCCTCACTCAGTGTCCAACCTCCTACGTCAGCTTACCAGGGATGCATAAGGCCCCTCCTCCTGTAACTATGGTCTGCCCAAAGGACACTTCTTACACTCAGCTCCCTTGTGCCGTCTGGGGCCTCAGCGTTGCAGAAGTAGAAGTTTCCTCCCCTCCTCCTAAAGATTTCTTAGAGCTCAGCTGTGCCGACTCTGGCTGCAGCTGTGAGGACCTCAGCCAAAGCCCCCAGTTCAGTTTACCAGCCAGTCCTGCTGAGGAGCGAGCGCCACCGTGCTACAGCAGCGATTACTGCATTCTCAACAAGACCGCTGAGGGCGTCGTTCCTGTTTTAGTGTCCAAAGAAAACAGTGTCAAAGCTTCGCCTGATTGCCTGCAGAAGGATGAGGGCTAAATGATCCTGTCTATACAACAACAGCTCTATAGAACAGAAAGGGTCCAAAATTTGACTTGATAATCCCAAAAACAACCTCTTCCTGTGTTCTGTTGTGTTCCTGATCGCTCTTCTTATCAAGGAGCTCCAGGTTTGTGCTGGAACTCCACAGCACGTTTCTGATGCCTCTGAATGTGTCTTACTGTTACTCGTTATGAAGCAAACTGCACTAACGACGTATCTTGGAGGCTTTTGCTTTGGCTGACCTGCTAAACTTGACCACTGGTCGTAGTGTGACCTTCACATCAGCTTTCTATGAAACATGTCCTCACGCAGAGCAGAATCATTTCTTTATTCGCCTCGTTTACAAAATGTTTTCATAAATAAAGAGACATAAAATAATCTGTAGTCAAATGAGTTGCTCTGTATGACTGGATGGAGATGCATTTAGATATCTGCTGGATCAGGATCCGTCCTCTGTCCGTTCATCAGCAGACGTTCTGTGGAAACGTTCTGCATGTGGGCTGTGTGAAATACTCATATGTCACAGTGAAAGTTTTACTCTTGATTCCTCCTCTGATGCTGACGAGTCAAGTCTTCCTCTGCAGATCAGATTTAGTTCAGCTGTAGCTTGTTATCACACAGAGCGATCTGTTCCACCTGATGGAAACCCACACATCTCAGTCAGCACGTGTTTCTGAGCAGTTCACAGTCCTCTCTTTCCATATTAGCTACAGGTTTAGTGAGCTCATTCTGGGTCTTGGAAACAGATGGAAATAATGAAAACTTGAATGTCCACAATTTCATTACAACTGGACCAACTCCACATGATCAGATTAAAAACAAGCCCTCTGAAAGAATAAAGTTGGATGCCGGGTAAACTAAGGACCAGCAGACTGGATCAGTGAACAAGAATGTATAATTTAAAGCTTCGTGTTGATAACTGATCATTATGGTCATACTTCTTGTCTGATTGAGTGATTACTGTGGAGACTATGATGAAGCTCATCAAATGCCCGGTGGTGATGGATTCGACCCCTGGTGGCCTTCACAGGACTCAGCATGACAGGAAGGCTGAGTGTCAGAAACCAGAAGGGCCTGAAATGTGTTAGTTAGAGAAAAGCATTGCTTCATTCAGCAGGCTACAGACTGCATGGAGTCAGTTATTCAGTGTCATTGGTGTCATTTCATGATTTGCAGCTTTGCACTGACGCTTGAGAAAGAAATTCACTGTAACCAGCATTCATATGGAGCCATCTGAGGAATCTAACGCCTTAAACAGGACGGTACTGTTCTTTAATTAAGACCCTATAAAGTGCTAGTAGGTGTAGTAAGTACAGCTGTCCTCAAGTCCAGGACGTCTGAGGATAACTGCTACCAAACCATTCTATCGTAAAAAGCAACAGAGCTCACAAAGGCAGGAAGTCAGAGTGAGGCTGATTCAGGTTTTCATCCTGTTTGACAGAATATGTTCTAGTCGGCGGCTCATGTGCTCACAGGAGCACCGTCCTCCACCTTAGAACCCCATCCAGCCACTCATCTGGTCTGCAGGAGGCTTCTCACTGCTCAGGTGGTCATGTGACACCTCTGTGACGTCAGCAGGTGGCGCTGCCGAGCTGTGATTGGCGCCTACGGAAGCCCTCCAGGCTCAGAAAGCAAATTACTGCTGAGGATGAGCGAGCCGCTGCATGGAGGTCAGTTATAAAACTACTCCGACATAAAACTCACACAGACACGTCGCACAGGGCGGTTTAATGGCAGCAGACTGTTAAATGATGTCTTTATATTCTAACTCTAAACGGCTGTTTAATGGCGCCGTCTATGTGCTGGATGTTTAGCCTAGCATTAGCCAGTTAGCCTGTCAGCTAGCCACGCTGTGGGGAGGGTTTGTGTGTCTGTAAATCTGGGTTTAAGGATCTTTTATCGGGTTTTTGGTCCAGAGAGTCTTGTGCTACTGTGTCAGGAAACATTAAATATCTCGTTAAAGGGGCGCCGCTACAGCTCACTCATGTTCTGGGGCTGCAGGCCCCGACGCAGCGGTCGCGGGTTCGAATCCAGCCCGGGGCCATCTGCTGCAGGTCCTTCCTCCATCCTCCTCCACACTTCCCTGTGTCTCTATCGCTGCTGTCCCGTCATATAAAGGCCATTATAATAATATATAAAAAGGTTAAACGTGTCGAAACGGGCGCTGAGCTGCTGGCAGCACTGCAGGAGTCTGAGAACCAGATTTCATCACGATGACTGAACAAAGCAGGACCTGTAGGCGCAGGTGGTTTGGATCAGACTGTTTAATTCTCTTGCGTTAAAAGAAAGAAAATGTCTCCAGCAGCAAGTCCCAGAATCACAAAACAAGAAGTGAAGATAATCGAGCACAAAAAAGAAAAAAGACGTAAAAAGCAGACAGTGGAAGCAGTGAGTTGTCCTCTGTGTGAACGCTCAGCCAGCTCTGCTTCTCTATTGAGAAGACTCAGGACACCACACACAGAGGTTCATGAATCATATGAAGCAAAACTCTAATTAAAACATGTTGTACCCGCTCCTGCTCTGAAGGACATGAATGTTCCCTCAGCGCCACCATCAGACCCGTCACATTCAGCACTAACCAAATACAGTAATCCAGTGACTTGTAGATCAAGTATTAACCATCCAGACCTGACATCAGGCTGAACACAAGCAGAGAAGAGCAGTAACGGTGGAGTGTTGGGCCGAACTGGGCCGGCTGCAGACACAAACCTCCTGAATGTGGACAGATGGATATAAATAGACTCATCGTGCACCACCATAAATATGCTAACGAGGCCAGCAGTGGAGCAGAAAGTGAAAAGTATTTCTCCGTCTCTGTGCAGTGAGTTCTGATCGGGTCGGTCCAGCTCTCCTGCTCCGTCACAGTGTGTGTTTGATGGCCGTGACCGGTTCACGCTTGTTCTGCAGGTTCTGCTGCAGCTCTCTGAACACGTGGTCCCGCTCCTCGGCGTCCAGCAGGATCTGCTGTTAAAGAAGGTTCAGGATCTCCGTTAGATCAGTTCAGCAGTGTAGAACAGGACTGAAGACATCACACAAAGTACGTCAGTGTCAGATTGTCCAAACCCCACCGGCACCACACAGCGCTGACTGCGGCCCTCTGACTCGTTGTGGTTTTGTGCATTTGTGTAGGGTCAGAACTCGAGCTCTAAATGACAGATCAAACTCCATAGTTAGTGCTGTGGGGCCTTCATTAAGGTAATTAGTTAGGTTTGGTCATTATGGGTCTGAGGTCTGTTGTCACATGAGTTTGATTATTCACCATCTTTATAAGACCTCAGCCTGATCATTAATACTCGTTAGGTAGCGTTTCAGCAGAGAGCTGGTAGCCATCACTGTGTGATTCTGTAGACGTCAGGGCGGGTCCGGCTTCCCTCTCCAACACTAAAGCTCTCCAGTGGCGATACACGACGAGTGGAGCGAAGGGATTTGGGGAAAGCATCTAACTGGGATTTTTGACATGTATTGCATTTGGATTTGTGGTATAATTTAAAATCCAGGTTCAGTTCAGTATTCACTGTGTAATAGATTTAAAACACAAGGATTTGATTCAATCAATTAACTGTTTAGCCTCGTTTAGCGACGGGAGTGGAACAGTTTTTTGTTAGAGAAATTAAACTGTTTTTTGATGCCTCATGGTGGGTAAACTATAAAAAGAACATTTTCAGTCTCTTTTAGTTAATTTACTGAGTCATGCAACAGTTAATATAAAGAACAATGGAACTTGTGAGACTGACGGGGATTTAAAGGAGGCAGCATCAGCAGCAGCATCAGCAGCATCAGCAGCATCAGCAGCATCATACCTCTATGAGCTTGTCCCTCCTGTCCAGGCGCTCCCTCAGCATCCTCTCCTCTCGCTCCCGGTCCTCTCTGCTGCTCTGTTCGGCTCGGTCAGCCTCCTTCTTCTCCTTCTCCTTCTGCCTCAGCTCCTGCCGAGTGTCTCGGAGTTGCTCGGTCAGAGAAGACACCGTCTGGCTGTGACTCTTCTGCTGACTCTGGTGAAGAGGTGAACAGTTTAGTTCCTGTTGTCAGGCTGTGTTTCAGTAATTCAGCTGGTGTGTGTCTCCTGGTCAGCAGAGCTGCTATTTGATTTTCTGAGTGGTTTATTTATATGCAGTAGGTTTTCTGGTGTTAATTTCAGTTAAAGAAGCAGCCTAATGTTTGGGAGATGTTAAATTTAAACTAGCAGACACTCCTGTCTGCAGTCAATATGAGGCAACAACCAGCTCCACTGAGGTTCAGACTCTCAGCAGCTGCCTCACAGTTACTGTCTGTCTGAGCACAAGAACATGTTTCTGTCTTCAGTACGTCCTGCTGCATTCCTCCGGGCGTCATCGTTCTATTTATGGGTGTTGCATACTTTACCGCAGCTAATTATTGTTGTTATTGATAAATCAAGTTATCTTTTTGGACTCATCATTTGGTTCCTTCAGCTCCAAGGGCTTCATATCTGATATCTGTCTCCAGATGTCTCGTTTTGTTTGAACAGAAATATACACGTTGAAATTACATGAACAACAAAAAGCACCAGTTTTCTGTAGAGACGTCATCCATCATCTCTACACCTGAATCCTCACCAGGGTCG